CTATTTTTAATTTTTTGAGGATCTTCCATTATTGTTTTTCATAGAGGCTGTACCAGAGTCTCAAAAGCAGCATATGAAGTTTCTTTATTCTCCACATTCTCACCTACACTTCACTGGTTTTCTTTTTGATAACAGCTGTATCTAACAGGTACAAGGTAATATCTTATTGCAGTTTGATTTGTAACTCTCTGATAACTAGTGATGTAGAACATCTTTTAAGGTACCTGTTGGCCATTTGTATGTCTTCTTTGGAAAAATGTGTATTCAGAGCCTCTACCTAGTTTTTGATCAGACTGTTCGAATTTTATTTGCTATTGAGTTGTATGAGTTCTTTTTTTATTGAAGTATAGCTGCTGTACAAGATTATATACTACAGGTGTACAATATAGTGACTCGCAATTTTTAAAGCTTATACTCCATTTAGAGTTACTATAAAAAATACTGGCTATATTCCGCATGTTGTACAACATATCCTTGTAGCTTATTTTCACCTAATAGTTTGTACTTCTTAGTCTCCTACCCCTAAACTGCCCCTCCCCACTGGTAAAACACTAATTTGTTCTCTGTATCTGTGGGTCTACTACTTTTCCTGTTATATTCCCTGGTTTTCTGTATTTTTTAGATTCCACATATAAGTGGTATCATACAGTACTTATCTTCCTCTGTCTGACTTATTTCACTTAGCATAATACCCTCCAAGTCCATCCATGTTGCTGCAAATGTCAGTTTCATTTTTTTATGGCCGAGTAGTATTCCAGTGTATTTATAGACCACAGCTTCTTTATCCATTCACCTGTTGATAAACACTTAGGCTACTTCCATATCTTGATAATTGTACATAATGCTGCTATAAACATCGCAGTGCATATATCTTTCCAAATTAGTGTTTTTTGTCTTTTTCAGATAAACACCCAGGAGTGGAGCTCCTGGGTCTTAACGATAGTTTTGTTTTTAGTTTTTTGAGAAACCTCCATACTGTTTTCCACAGTGGTTGCATCAATTTACATTCCCATCAACAGTGTAGGAGGGTCCCCTTTTTGCCCCCTCTTCACCAGCATCTGTTATTTGTGTTCTTTTTGATGACAGTTGATTCTGACAGATGTGAGGTGATACCTCATTGTGGTCTTGACTTGCATTTCCCTGATGATCAGCAATGTTGAGCGTCTTTGCACATGCCTGTTGGACATCTGCATTTCCTCTTTGGAAAAATGTCTATTCATTTCTTTTGCCCATTTCTTAATCATTTTTTAAAAAACGGTGAGTTGTAGGAACTGTTCATATATGTTGGATATTAATCCCTTGTTGGTCATATCATTTGCAAATATTTTCTCTCATTCAGTAGGCTGTCCTTTTGTTGATGGCTTCCTTTGCTGTGCAAAAGCTTTTCAGTTCAGTTAGGTCCCATTTGTTTATTTTTGCTTTTATTTCTTTCTCTTTAGGAGACAAATCCAAAAAAAAAAAAAATAGTGCTGTGATTTATGTCAGAGAGTGTCCTGCCTGTTTTCCTTGAGGGGTTTTACAGTGTCTAGTCTTAGATTTCGTTCTATAATCCATTTTGAGTTTATTTTTGTATGTGGTGTTAGAGAATGTTCTAATTTCATTCTTTTACACATAGCTGTCCAGTTTTCTGAGCACCATCTATTGAAGAGACTCTCTTTCCGCCACTGTGTAGTTTTACCTCCTTTGTCGTAGATTGACCGTAAGTGCATTTCTGGGCTTGAGTTGTGTGAGTTCTTAATGTAAATCAGATATATGACTCACACAATATTTTCTCCCATTCAGTAGGTTGCTTTTTCATTTGTTGATTTCCTTTGCTGTGCAGTTTTTTAGTTTGATGTTTGTCCACCTAGTTAATTTTTGTTTTTGTTGCCTTTGCTTTTATTTCTCATTCAACTTTGTTGCGTCTCAAAATTGTTTTTTGCTTTTTTTTTTTTGCCTTTGCTTTTGATGTCAGATCCAAAAAAATTATCACCAAGACCCATGTATGTTAAGGAACTTATCACCTATGCGCTCTTCTGGGAGTTTTATGGCTTCAGGTCTCATGTTCAAATCTTTAACCTATTTTGAGTTAATTTTTGTGTATGTTGTAAGTTAATGGTCTAGTTTCATTCTTTTGCATGTGGCTGTCCAGCTTTCCTAGCACCATTTATTGAAGAAACTGACCTATCCCCAGTGTATATTCTCAGCTTCTTTGTCATAAACTGACCGTATGTGCACAGGCTTATTTCTAGGCTGTCTATATTCTACTCTACTGATCTATCATCTGTTTTTCATGTCAATATCATACTGCTCTTTAATTGAAGAATAGTCAGTTTACAATGTTGTGTTAACTTCTGGTATACAGCGTAGTGCTTCAGTTACACATACACATATTTCTTCTCATATTCTTTCTCACTATAGGCTAGTACAAGACACTGACTACAGTTCCCTGTGCTGTATAGTAGGACCTTGTTGTTTATATTTTATGTATACTTGTTAGTATCTGCAAATCCTGAACTCCTTCATACTCCTTTGACTGTAATTTTTTCTTGATAGCTGGACCTGTACTGTGTGAAAGAAACTGCTATAAATGGGCCTTTAGTAATGTGCTAGTAGGTGTGGGGAAGGCCGAGTCTTCTACAGTCTGATGAGCAGGTCTCAGGTTCTCAGTGAGCCTGTGCCTCTGGACTGTGAACTTCACAAGTGTTCCCCTGGTTTTTGTTCTTCTCCTAAAGTGGGAGAGGATGGATACAGCAGGCTGGAGTTGGGTCTTTCTCCCATGTGGAAAACTAAAGCTAATTAAAACTGGGTAATTTCCTTCCCTCCAGGTTGATCAGGCTTTGATAATACCCTAGCCACATAGGCCCTGCTTAACTACTTTCTCCTGAGTGCAGGCCTTATTAAGAACAGGATGCTCTGGCATATTTCAAAATGGTTCTGTCTCTCCTTCCTGATACCTATGTGAGAACCAGGTCGAGCTCCTAGAGATAAGTCTCACAGAACTTTGTAGAACCCTCCTACGTTTGGTTCCCTGGAGCTGTCACCTCTCGGAGTTGTCCACACTAGGTTCCGGCACTTCCTCAGTGGAAGTTCTGGTCATTACTCTGCTCCCATGAGCTGTGACTCCCACATCACCTGACTCTCTAATTGCTGGGGCAGTGGTTTGCCCTTTGTCCTCCCTCTTCTATGGATCCAAGAGGAGCTGCTGATTTTTCAGTTTGTTCAGCTTTTTATTTGTGGTTAGGATGGTATGGCAACTTCAAAGCTCCTTAAATGTGGAAGCAGAAACTAGAAGTCCTCAATAATCCATTTTTGAGATGTTTTATTTAATTCTAATAATTCAATTTCTAAACTGTATTAAGAATAAAGAATGTTAATAAGTTATTTCTGTCACCCCAACTTAATAAAACTAACATGTCACTGTTTAATTGGGCTAGCCTGGCAATCAGAATTTTAAAAAATAAAATAAAATTGAATAAAAAAATCTGAGTACAGCAGTTATGGTGAATACAGTTTTATGTAACGTTTATTTCTTAATGTAGATCATAGGATAAACTTTGAAAGACAGGAAGTTAAGAAATGAAAAACTTACTGTGTATACTTGAAATGTATAGGAAAAAATAAAAAATGATTAGAATTTCAAAATACTTTAAAATAAATTTAAAAACCAGAGATATTAAAAAGTGTGAGAAAAATAAAGCTCACCACACTATCTTATTTACTTGGATTCCTTATATGTAAAGTTCATGAATGGTAACAATGAAAACTGAACTTCAATTTACCTTTATGTTAAAAAAGAAAAAGGATTATCTGAAGAAGTCAAATGTATGTGAAAACTGACTCATTTGCATATAAACACATGAATCTGAAAGTACCCATATACTTAAATACTCACCCAAAATTTGAAACCATTTTACTTCTATTGAAAACATACAAGGTTTGTATTCCAGCAGAAAAGGCCCAAGAGTTAGATCAGAAATTTATGAATCAGAGGCTTAAGACATGAATTCCAGCACTACCACCCACTGATAGGTTAACCTTGGGCACATCACTGAATCCAAATTTCTTATTATTATAATGGGAATAATAATCTACATTTATGATAGTTGGAAACAAAGAGTATGTGAAAAAAGCTTAGAAACCTGAGGTGCTATGTAACTGTCAAATGTCACCATCAAATAGGTAACAAACTTCTATGCAAGTATAAACAAAGACTTTTCTTAATTTTTCTTCCCTTCCTAATACCAAATTTTTCATAGACTTCATGTCTCTTGATTTCATTGCTTTACTTAGTGAGTACATTGTAAATGGAGGCATTTTCATCTATTTTTTTACATATACACATTTTTTCAAAATACTTTTGACCCTCGAACAACATGGGTTTAAACTACAAGGGTTTGTGTGTGGATTTTTTTCAGTAAATACCTACTACAGCACTACACGATTTACAGTTGTTTGAACCTGTCATGTGGAACCCTGGGTATGGAGAACAGTATAAACTATACTTGGAATGACTGTGTGGGGCACTGGTGCCCTGACCCCCTGTGCTGTTCAAGGTCTACAGTATGCAGTTCTTTCTGAAGATTCTGGATGAAACTCAAGCACTGTTCTCAGTATTATGGAAAGATAAATTAACCCTTATTATGAAAGAGTAAATTAGATAGTCCTGAAAATAAATTTGCTAAGGAGATACAGAACAAACTGGAAAATGTTAATTGTTTTACTTAACACAATGTATACAAACAGGGCTTCCAATTACAAATAAGTGGCACCATTAAGGTATCAGTGGCAAAATTCCTATCTGGAAATATTTTTTGGTTATTCAGCTTAATAAATATACTTGAAAATAAAAAGAGAAATTCTTATTACAAATAAATGTGTAATGCATCTGACTGATCTTTCTACAGGAATGAACTCATTAAAAGATGTTTTAATCAAAATTTCATGTATTTGGATTCAAAAGACCACTTAACATTATTATAGCATTTAGCCTTAAAATAGTCACAGAACATGAGACTTACCCGGATAGTGCCGCCAACGACCTCCACCACCCTGCCTCGATACCACAGCGTATCTGATCCCCTTACTGCACAGGCTTCTCCCTTCTTCCAGAAATAAGACTCCAAAAGACCAAGGCATTTTAAATTACTCTGAATTTCATTCATCATTTTCATTAGTTCTGGTTCTGAAGAAATTATTAAAAATAGAAAGCATTTAGGGAAAATTCCCTATCATTTTCAAATGAAGTCATCATCAACCTTTAATAACTTCATCACTTAGAGAATATTCTAAGGAATTAAAAATTAGTCCCCACATAATAGAGCTTTAATAAAAATCTAATTTAGTCAGTAGCTTCTATATGTTTCAAAACATACTACTGATTAACAGCATGTAAATTATTCTGATCTCTGGTTATAAATGCAAGCGTTATTTTGGGAGTGCAAGAGTCATTAAAAACTCTAAACACACAGGGAGCCTAATACAAAAGAACTAGCACTTAAACAGAACATCATTTTAGCAGCACACATATGTGAAACAGAACACAAGTTGAACATCATGAGATGCTTAGATAGATCATGATGTGTGGATATAAAAACTAACATTGCTACTTCCTGCTAACTGCCTCATAATCTCCACACATGTCCAAGACTGGTACCATCGGAGACAGCCTTGCCGTCAGCTCCTGTGCCAGTTCTTCTGCTGCAGGCGTGTGTTCCTGGGCAGCAGCCTCAGCCTGGTCTCCTGCGAACTGGGCCTAACAGGCCCACCTGCACCATCAGGGTTGCAGGGACTGGACACAAAGCGTCTAGCGCACTGCCTGGCACAGAACAGTCAGCCAGTCCCAGCCCTGATTACACACGTCAAGCAAAGCTTCTGGATCAAGCACTGTTGCTAGAGGTCTGAAACACTACTCACTTGTACAAGAGCCAATTACACAGATTTACTCTAGTTTTCAAATAAAAAACAGTATTTACGAGATTAACAAATGAGACAAAAATTTCATAGTCACCGTACCCCTCACCACAGGTGGACTTACAAGCGAGTGAGGGAGCTTGCATCCCGTGAAAGCTGGAGCTGCCAGGAGTTCTCGAGTGTTCTGGGCACACCCGGGTTGCAGAAAGCCAGCACTAGCACATTAGCCTGAAGAGACTCAGGAAGTCCCTGGTCTTTAGTCATTGGTTCTGATTCCTGTTTTCATTCTAAACGATTATTAACTTTTAACTCTTCTTTCTTAGAGAGCTTCCAAACTTGCACAAGTGGTCTTACACACCCAGAACTGCCCCCTGCTCACTTTAGGCCCAGTGTCTATCCATTCCAGTGTCTCAATGAATGATCTTTACGCGCTAGGTACTGTGAAGAGTGCTTTTTGTGCATTATTTCATTTAACCCACACAACAACTCAGTGGAGACAAGTTCAGAGAGGTTAGATACTTGCCAAAGGTATTTCAATCCACGGGTATCTTACCAGAGAACAGGAGCTGCAGTGACCACTCTGAGAGCTCTGCACAAAGTGGAAGTCTTACCTGATGACTTAGGTACCACAAACACAGTGCCATCGTCACCAATGCAGCTGACTATGGCCTCAAATACTTTCTGGGTAGGGATAGCTGGTGGTCTGTAGGATCCAGCAGTCCTTGGTTCTAGAATTTGCTCCTTAAATTCAGACACCTTGTGCTCACTGACAGTATCAGCTGCTTTTTTGTCAGGGTCACAGTTAATTTTAATACACTTGGTAACTGCTGACTCATCTTGTTCCAGGGGGGTTTCCAGAGATTTCTGGGATAATGAATGGCTGTTATCCAATTTGTTAATTCTGTAACATCCAAAAAAAGAACACATCTAAACATGAGCAAATAAAAAAATTATGGACAAACAACATAAAAAGAATCCTTCAAATATGCTTGAAATTTAAAGACAATATTTGCTCTAGCCTAGGATATACTGATTTGTTACAATGAAAGTTACTTTAAATTATGAATGAGCTTGATGAAAATAAAGCAATACAATTCCACTTATATGTTAAACTACTATCCACCATTACATGCCATTCTCTCTTAAAATCTTGTAGTAAGTATATGCCAAATATTACACAATTAACTAGATATTACTGAGAAATACAACAGCTTCAAGCTGATTCCAATTTAGCCCAATGACAAACATCTGTGTGGCAAGTTATCAACATTCATAAAACAATACAAAGATAATATGAATCCCTAATAGTTTTTTCGTACTATTCAGGACTAAGTATTAATGGTAATATGCTATACTCACTCATAATTGTTTTACTTCCTGTTATTCCCTTCCAATTAAAAAATTATGCCTATAAAAAATCCTAGAAGGACATATTAACATTGCTTATGTTAGAGAAATTATGGCAGGTTTTTGTTTCTCCCACTTCCCTGTATTTTCTTTGAAAAGGAAATAGGCACTGATAAAACAGCTACATAATTCCTCAAGTAACACTGCACCCTCATCGTCCCAGTCTTGAGATAGTAGTTTTAGTGCCATGAAAGCAAAAAAGAACATTAAATTAGTGGTGGCTATTGTCAGCAGTATTAGCTTGTGTAGCATTTTTCACTTTAACGTTTCTTTTACCAGGGAACTGTGTAGCCTAAAGTCACACATGCAGGCCTGAAGATGCAGCGTCCGGCTGTGCACCGATGCCCCAGCAGCAAGCCAGCCTCTACCACACCAAGCCAACAACCTCACTTTCATTTTATTTTGATTTCTCATTCTCTTTCCACTTCATCAGGACTGGGGTCCTGGTCCAAATAAGGAAAGATACAATCTATGATGAAAAAAGAGATCTGGCTATGTATGGTGGAGAGTGGCTACCTGGAATACGTATTTGCAGTTCTAATGTACCTCTACCTCTACAAGGAAAGAGACAGAGAGAGGAAACTGGGGCTACAGCAATATCCTGATTCTTCTCCCCTTGGATCAGAGGAATTTAAACCCCAAACTTATTACCTGAAAGGATCTTCAAATGTAAATATTGCTCAGGTATTCTTCTTTTTGATGTCCATTTCTACCTTTGCCACCCATTTTGGTATATATATCTACCAGAATTTCCAATGTAAAGCTTAAACATTTCCATCTAAGCAAATGAGGTCAAAGGGCTCGGATCTGCTATCCACTATCTAATTCTCTTTTCCTTTGGTTTAGAGTGTAAATACCAGAGCAAAGGGGAAAGTATAAAAGCAAAAATGTCAGCAGGGGTTTAAATATTTAGCAATCCTGAATGAATTTATTTCTGAGCTAGCTCCTCAAGGTCAGGTTATAAGTCATTTTTAAGAGCAAACAAGAGGCAATTCACATCTGAAAGCACACAAATTAGAAGCTTCCACCACAAAATGGTATTAAAAAAAAAAGGTCTGTACCTCCTTTCTCTCAAAGCCAAACCCTTTTTAATCAAATATTTAGAAACATCAATACGCTCTCCTTTTTCATCTCTGCAGAAAATTTTCACAGGTAATGGCCATGTTGTTTTGTTTTCCTGCAGTGATTTAAGACCAGAGTAAATATGAGACACAAAAATGCAATCTTCTTATAAACATTACACTTTTCACAGGTACTTCCTCCACATTTCTCCATGCCAGGAAGAAAAATTCCCAACCAAGTAATTTTGACATCTGAGCGTATCAGAGAAAACAGCATGGGAGAGAGTCAACAGGGTAAGACAGGTGTCCTGAGAAGTGTATCAGGAAGGCATCACTGTCTAGGTGAAATTTACCAAGGGGAGGGGAAAAAAGGCTGAAAGCTTTTTTTCATCCCAGAGTGGAGGAGGGAGGAATACACCCTCAATTACAAGTTTCTATATTCTCCTAAACTCTGCAAATTACAGAACTAAAATATATTTTCCCAGGTATGACTTTATTTTCCTTGTGAAAGGTCAAAAAAGGAAAGAACTACAAAACATATATTCTGCTTTATGTAAAATTATAAAAATGGAGAAAGTGTACATAGAAAAAATTAACATGGAAAAATTAGTAAGAAAATTGTAATCGTTACTGCAATAAAATGTATCAAATTGGAAAAAAGTAAAGGAGGCAAAGAGAATTTTTAAGTGTTCTGAAAAGATACATCCTATATATGTATCCTCATGTTAAATCCATACTCATACACTTTTATAACACTGTTAATATGATTTCACTAGAAGCCTAACTTTCCAATCTGTAAAGAATATCAAAAGGCTTCAAAAATGCACTTCAGCATAAATACATATACTCTGAATGTGCAAATTATCAACTCAAGAATATTACTTTAGAAATGTTTTGATTCACTCATATAATCATTTATGTTATATCTATTATCAAACAGGCATTATAACTTGAATTAAGACCAAAAAAAGGTTGCAAAAAAAAAATTCAACAGCTTACTGTTATTTACTCAGCAAAATAAACGGGCTTGTAGAAACCATCAATGACAGAACTGGTCCACATCTGTAGCTGTTCACCTGGCACGCACCTGTACGATGATGGTTGCCATGGCTCCAGTCAGGTACAATGAGAGACAGTCACAGGCTGTTGCTGTCCACTTGTCACTGCCACCAGTTGGTCTAAAGCAAAAAATGACAATCGTTTTATACAAATAGCATAGGATACAGAACTACACAAAAGAAACTCCACATGCAGACATAAATTTGAACCAACTACATGTAATGAGAAAATTTAAACGTGGCTTTGTGTTATTTTCACAATTTTATTCCCCATTTTCATAGCCCTTTGTCTATTTTACTTATGACCCAAATTACATGCTAAGTTATTTATGTACCTCTGTTCTAAAGCTACACTGAGAACTCTTAAAAAAGGAGGTTATGTTTTAAGTTTATTACGCTAATACACACATTTCATGTATGCTAACTACACCATAAACGCAGCATGGATACCATGTTACGTATTGGGTGTACATTCAGTTGACCCTGGAACAGTGCAGGAGTCAGGGTGCTGACCCTCTGTGCGGTCAGAAATCTCTGCATCACTTTACAGCTGGCTCTCCACACCCGAAGCTCTGCATTCACAGACTCACCTGACCACAATGTGCACTGCCGCAGTACGTGTTACTGAAAAAAAGTCTGCACAAGAGGACCTGTGCAGTTCAGATGTCGTCTACATGTTACGCATCACACGTGTCCTATCTGTCATTACCACCAATGCCTAGGACAGTGCCCAGCACACAGAAGCCACGCAAAAGTATTTAATGGAAGTAATAAAAGAACAGTCCCTTTGTAATGATGATTTCTCTGCCCAAATATTTCTAGAAAATTTTTTTCTGGAATTTAAATCTAATATGAATCACTACCCATGAACATTAGCCTCATTTATAGAAAATTTACTTTTTACCGTTCATAGTAAAAAGTATTCAATAAATATTTATTGACAGATTGATGAAAAGGAGAGAATCAACTTCATCACCTCTTTTAGATTTCAGAGTTGAAACTCAGTGACTTTAGATGTTTCTAACCATCAAAACCACCCCCAGGGAACAAAGCACTACTGCCACTAAAGGGATTACAAGCAACATAAATGCAGGCTCTGAAGGCTCCCTGGAAATGGTTTCAAGATCTGGAGTTGCCCGGAAGCTGCTCCATCCATTAAGTACATAACCAAAATGGCCAATCTTTTCATATTAAATGGTTTCTGGGAATCCCAAACAGTAGGTGAGGGCATATCTCAGTGGTAGAGCACATGCTTAGCATACACAAAGTCCTGGATTCATCCCCCAGTACCTCCTCTAGAAATAAAAATAAATAAATAAACTTAACTACCACCTCCCCCAAAAGAAACCAGCAACAAAAAAGAAGCCCAAACAGTGTTCTTATGAGCTAAGAAGCTTATATTATTAGTGATTCCTTGACTTACTTAAGGTTTTTTATTTATTAGGATGGTATACAGATAATATCAGCATAACATTAAATTTTCCCTATGATTTTTTGTGGATATGCATTTTTAAAATGTTAACTTTTGAACATCTGAAAGTATTACAACATTTAAGAAAAATATGGCATGTATCCATAGACCTGTATGTTTCAGCTGGGAAAGAAAAAGTCCTGGAGATGGACAGTGGTATAGGTTGCACAATAATGTGAACTACTTAAAGCCACTGAACTGTACACTTAAAAATGGTAAATTTCATGTTAATGTGTATTTTCCACAACAAAAGGAAATCTATAGAAAAAAATTTCTAAGAAGAGCAGTAAAACATAGTGGTTAGAACTCCAGCTGTAGAATCAGAACTTTTATAATCCTAGTTCAACAGTTAGTAGATGGTTATTACTCTAGATTATAAAATACTTAACCTCTTGAAGACTCAATTTCTTTATGTTTAAATGATACCTTATCTATTGCTTAAAGGCTTGCTGTGATGATTAAGTACAATAACGCCTGTTAAGGCAATTAATACAGGGGTCCAGATGTGCTTAAGGTTAGCTATTATTAGACTCCTGAAACGGTGGTATTCTACTACAGTCCACAGGATACAATTCAAGGTGTCTACAGGAATGTATTCTCCACAATACTGGGTATAATCAAGGTGCTGACAGAACTCTGTTCTACCAAGGAAGTGAGAGCATCCACAGCCCAGTTAAGGACAGCATCAAGACAGGTAGGAGGCACAGAGACACAGTCTCACCAAGAAAAACCCACCCCCAGTTGCAGCAATTCACAGCCAGGAGGGACCCACAGGGGATGGGTCTCTTCCCTGAGAAGCGAGGGATCCAAGCTCTACATGCAGCACCCTGATCCCGAGATCCTTCACAGGAGAGAAAAGCCTCCCAAACACCTGGCTTTGAAAACCATCAGGGAATCTAATCTGACCAGGAAAACTACAGGACTGCCGGGAACAGAAAACCTGCTCTCAAAGGGCCTGAGTGCAGACTCACTTAACCTAAAAACAAGTGCAAAAACATCAGACTGAAAAGTTCACGGACCAGACTGACTTGCTAATCTTGAAGCATCTGCTGGAGAGGCAGGCACCAGCTGGGATGCCCCTCAGGAATGAGACACTGGCAGGAGCCATTTCTGTGATCTCAGGCTACCTTGAAATGCCAGCACTGAAATCCTCCTTCTAACCTGTTAGTACCAGTGGGTCTGCCCTGCCTACCCGAGCCTCAGCGGGACCTCACAGCCATCCAAGCAACAGCCCTGCCCACCAGCACCCTGCAGCAGCCGTAGCCCTGCCACAGCAGGAGGGCACACGCAGCCCACAGAAGGGACACTCTTCACTGCCAGGCTGTGATGGCCAGGCAGGATCGCACCTCTCAGTCCAAAGGCATCTCCTAACTACGGCCATGCTTTCAAGACTGGAAGAGACGTAATACACAGGAACAAATGGAGAATCAGGCAAAATGAGGAGACGACGAGGAGTATGTTCCAAGCAAAAGGATAATACAGAACCTCAGAAAAAGAACTAAAAACAAAACAAAAAAAGAGATAAACAATCTTACCTGATAAAAGAGTTATAAGTAATTGTCATAAAAAATGCTCACCAAACTCAGGAAAAGAATGAACACGGTGAGAACTTCAACAGAGATAGAAACTATAAGAAACTACCAAACAGAAGTTATAACTGGATGAGAAATACACTCAGACTGGATCAGGCGGAAGAATGAACCAGCGTACTGGAAGACAAAGCAATGGAACTCCCCAGGACACAGCAGCAAAATGAAAAAGAAAAGCGAAGATACCTTAAGGGACTTCTGGGACATCAAATGGAGTAACATTTGCATTACAGGAGGAGGAGAGGGAGGGAGGAGGAGAGAGAGACAGAGACAACGAAAAAGACAACAACGAAGAAGAGGAAGACGATGAGGAAGAAGAAGAAGAAGAAGTAGAAGAAAGGACCAGAAAAATTATCTGAAGAAATAGTGGCTAAAACTTCCCTAATCTGGGGAAGGAAACACACATCCAGGCCCAGCAAGCCCAGAGAGTGCAAATAAGATGAACCCAAAGAAACACACACCAACACACACTATAATTAAAATGGTAAAAGTTAAGGAAAAAGAGAGAATCCTAAGAGCAGCAAGAGAAAAACAACTTGTTATGTACATGGGAGCCCCCATGAGGCTATAAGTAGATTCTTCAGCAGAAACTTTAAAAGACAGAAGGGAATGGTATCACACATTCAAAGTGCTGACAGGGAAAAAAACTTCCAACTAAGAATTTTCTACCCAGCAATGTTACCATTCAGAATTTGCAGGCAAGATTAAGAGTTTTCCGGATAAGCAAAATCTAAAGGGGTTCATCACCACCAAAGCAGCCCTATAAGAAATGTTAAAGAGACTTCTTTAAAATGAAAAGCAATGGCACTAATTAGTAATATGAAAATATACAAAATTACAATAGATGGTAAATACAATAAAGGTAGTGAATCAGTCACTTACAAAGCAAGCATGAAGGTTAAAAGAGCAAAGTAGTACAATTAACTAAACTTACAGTAATTATTTAAAGGGTGCATAAAATAAAAATGTAAAATGTGTCACTGAAAACATAAAATGTGGGGGAAGGAGGAAAAAATAAAGCCTCGGAATGTGTTTAAATTAAAGTTACCACTAAATTAAAATAGGCTACTATTTACACAGGCTATTATTATATGTGAAGCTTATCATAACCACACACAAAAAACTTATAATAAATACACAAAAGAAAGAGAAAAACCTAAACATAACACCAAAGAAAATCACCAAAACACAAGAGAAGAAAGAAAAGAAACACAAAACAGCCAGAAAACAATTAACAAAAATGGCAGTAAGTACACAGCAATCAATAATTACTTTAAATGTAAATGGACTAAATGGTCCAATCAAAAGACAGAGTGGCTGAATGGATGAAAAAACCAAGATGCATCTAAATGCTGCCTATGAGAAACTCACTTCAGAAGAAAGGAAACACATAGACTGAAAGTGAAGATACAGAAAGAGATATTCCATGCAAATGGAAATAAAAAGAAAGCTGGAGTAGCTATACGCATATCAGGTGCAAAAGACTTTAAAACAAAGACTATAATACAAGACAAGAACATTACATAATGATAAGGGGTCAATCCAGCAAGAAGATGTAACATTTATAAATGTATATGCACCCAAAAGATGAGCACCAAGATACATAAAGCAAACATTAATGGACTTAAAGGGAGAAACTGAAAGCAATGCAATAATCGTAGGTGACTTAATATCCCACCTGCATCAACGCATCAATCATCTAGATGAAAATCAATACGGAATCAGCATACTTAAACAACACATTAAGACCAAATGGACTTAACAGATACATACAGACCTTTCCATACCAAAGCAGGAGATAACATATTCTTCTCGAGTGCATATGGAACATTCTCCAGGATAGATCATGTGTTGCTCACGAAACAAGTCTCAATAAATTCAAGAAACTGAAATCATATCAAGTATCTTCTTCAACCACAATAGTATGAAACTAGAAATCACAAGAAAAAAAATGGGAGAACCCACAAAAAATGGAGATTAAACAACATGCTACTGAACACCCAGTAGGTCATCGGAGAAATCAAATACCTAGTGACAAATGAAAACAGAAATGCAACATA